CGAATGCCAAGGTCCGTTTCGGCGGGTGGCGACATGCCCGAGGCTTCGATTTATAGGAATCAGAAGGGGGCTAGAACGGCCCATTCCAGATTCGGAACGGCCCGTTCTGGGCCAATCGTTATGTGAAAATTACGCACCCTGGAACGACCTGTTCTGAAAATGGAACGGCCCGTTCCAGAGTGGAAATTAACACAAAGTTGCCCTTTCCAGAACGACCCATTCCAAATTTGACTTGTTTGGAACGGCCCGTTCTGGTATTGGAACGACCCGTTCCAGCCTAACACTCTTTAGGTGTTTTAGTTACGTTAGAACAACCCGTTCTGATATTGGAACGACCTGTTTCGGGGTTCGGAATGGCTCGTTCTAATTTTGGAACAGCCCGTTCTAGGCTATTAAAATCACCTTATTTGGCCTTTAGGCCTTCTGATGTCCTGTCTAGTTGTTTGCCTGCTTCGAAAGCTCCTGCCCTTCATAACGGAGGTCCATTTCCTTGTTTGTGTGCCCCTAGACGAAATTGGGTGTCTACAGTACCCTATGATGAAGTTAATATGATAAGGATTAATAAATTAAATATTAGATCTCCTTTATTAATATTTATTTACATGCTTGAAATTTAAATTATACAATTGACTCTAAATGTCTACATGATTTCTTTTATTATAACAATATTGATCAAAGATAAGAAATAAAAGGGAGAGAAAAAGATTGTCTGAAATACCTCTTGAACGAGCTCTATTGAATCTTCAAACATGTGCTTTGTGGCAACCTTTCACACTACAATATGCCTCGTAAAACTCAAGAAATACAATAGGAGGGAGAGAGAGAAATTTTGAGCTCTAAGGAGTTATGGACGAAATTTTGTGGCCTTGATAACTGTGCCCAAGCTGCCTATTTATAGGCATCAGAAGGGTGCCAGAACGGCCCGTTCCAAATTCGGAATGACCAGTTCTGGATCTGAACGTTATGTGTTAAATTCTTACCCTGGAACGACTTGTTCTGAAACCAGAATGACCTGGGGTTGAGATTAACACAAAAATGCATTGCTAGAGCGGCCCGTTCCAAACTAGGTTTTTTTATGCTATTTAGCAGTTTGGAACGGCCCGTTCTAGTTTAGGAACGGCCCATTCCAGCCTAAGATTTTTAGACCTTTTACCTGGTTTGGAACGACCCGTTCTGGTTTTGGAACGACCCATTCCAGACTAGGTTTTTAGGCATTTTTTGTGGCTTGGAACGGCCCGTTCCAATTTTGAAATAGCTTGTTCCAGGCCACTAAAACCAATTTATTTGGGCTTTAGGCCTTCTGATGTCTTGTCCTGTTGTTTGCATGCTTTGGGAGCTCCTTCCCTTCATAACAGAGGTCCATTTCCTTGTTTGTATGCCCCTGGACGAAATTGGGTGTCTACAAAGCTGAGTGAGGATTATATCCTGTTTAGCTGTGATCGAGCGGGGGCATTGGGCATGAAAATGGTTTTGTTTGTGCTTGACTGGCACTAGGAAATATTATTTTTGGAATGACTGTACATATATGGTGTTCTATTTTGTATACAGAAACTTAGTTATTTTTATTCTTACCTATCCTTGTATGTATGAGTTATCCAGCTTAATATTTCTCTTAGTTTACTAGTAGTAGTGCGATTCCACTAAGTGTAGAGACCATAGAGGGTCGTTACATTGTCCATATGATAATTGTCAAAATAAATAGTAATCATGTAGACATATCATTCTCAAACGTCTGGGGTCTAAACCCTTTACTTCTTTTCATATATAAGTAATCGTAATTTAAAATAACATGTAAATAACCAAAAGGGGAATAAGATATTCAAATTATTATTCTTTATCATGCTAATTTCATCACAGGGTATCGATTTAGGGCATTGTAAGGTGTCTAATACCTTCTCTATACCCATTCCAGACTAGGTTTTTAGGCATTTTTTGTGGCTTGGAACGGCCCGTTCCAATTTTGAAATAGCTTGTTCCAGGCCACTAAAACCAATTTATTTGGGCTTTAGGCCTTCTGATGTCTTGTCCTGTTGTTTGCATGCTTTGGGAGCTCCTTCCCTTCATAACAGAGGTCCATTTCCTTGTTTGTATGCCCCTGGACGAAATTGGGTGTCTACAAAGCTGAGTGAGGATTATATCCTGTTTAGCTGTGATCGAGCGGGGGCATTGGGCATGAAAATGGTTTTGTTTGTGCTTGACTGGCACTAGGAAATATTATTTTTGGAATGACTGTACATATATGGTGTTCTATTTTGTATACAGAAACTTAGTTATTTTTATTCTTACCTATCCTTGTATGTATGAGTTATCCAGCTTAATATTTCTCTTAGTTTACTAGTAGTAGTGCGATTCCACTAAGTGTAGAGACCATAGAGGGTCGTTACATTGTCCATATGATAATTGTCAAAATAAATAGTAATCATGTAGACATATCATTCTCAAACGTCTGGGGTCTAAACCCTTTACTTCTTTTCATATATAAGTAATCGTAATTTAAAATAACATGTAAATAACCAAAAGGGGAATAAGATATTCAAATTATTATTCTTTATCATGCTAATTTCATCACAGGGTATCGATTTAGGGCATTGTAAGGTGTCTAATACCTTCTCTATACATAAATGACTCCTGAACTCAATTTTGGCTATGAAGGTCACAATTGAGGTTTTCAAAAATATATTTTTTTTTTATGTTTTGAGTAAAATGTCGGTGATGACTCCTTCAAACTCTTTTCTAAAGCCATTGATTAGGGGTTACTTTGGTTTTTGGATGTTCCCTAATCAATGAGATTTTGAAAATAGAAGTCTAAACCATTTGTGGTAAAATCAAAATCTTTTGAGTTTCGACACCCATTATTATAAATTAAATTTACTCTAATGAAATTAAATAAAAAGTTAAAAAATTCTTATAAACATGTTTAATAACTTCAAAAAATACTCGCAAAATAATTTACTTTTATTTCATTGAAATTATTAAAGTGACAATGTAGAAAAAAAAAACTAGTCAAATTAAATAACATAAATTTAATTTACATTATACTATACATAGAGAGACAATCACCATTCAATTTTCATATAATTTTTACATATTTATACTCTTTTAATATATTTTTTTCACCATCATATATCTTGAGAATAAAATTGAAGAAAAAATTTGTATAAAAAATTAATTATCCACGTTATCAATAACAACTATAAATAAATATATTCTTATTTTGCAACCACATGTAGCCAAAATGATTTTACTCTACTTTAATCATATATTAAGTTAAATTACATTTTTGGTCCGAATTTTTATCAATTTATAATTTTGATAATTTTATTTTAAAATAGAGACATTTAGTTCCTTGTTCTTAAAATTACAAAATTTTGGTTCTACCATTAATTTGATGTTTATTAATTATTAAATTTTGACATTATGTTAATCTGCTCTCCTAAAAAAGAAGGGATATGGGATTTACTTGTGTAACATACAAAAATAAAAATGAAAAATTATCGTACAAACAATCTCTATTTATATCCATTTGAGTAATATTTATTTTATTAATAAAAATCTTATTTGTATATTTTTAAATGTTATACTATTAAATATCACACTTAAATATAAATAAATATTAAAATTTAATAATTAGTAGATACTAATTTAATAAGAAGATCAAAATTTTATATTTTAAAATTAGAGAATTAAATATTTTTATTTTAAAATAAAGATATTAAAATCACGAATAAGTAAAAATAAACGTATATATTATCATTATTTATACTAATATATAAAAGGATACTCCTTTTAGTAATTATTTTGTTCTTCACATTTTGTCAACCATTTTACCTTTTCATTTTAAGAAAGTTAAAAAGAATTATTTTTTTATTAAAATTAAAATCTTAAAATTAATGGAGTGATTATAACACTAGATCAACATATATTTATTGTTTAATTTATATTTTTATTTTATCTCTATTGATCCTACTAGTTTTTTTTATTATTTTTTTATTCTAATCCTACTAGTTTTATATAAATTTTATATAAAATATTTAGAGGAAAAAAAAAAGTATATAAAACGAGAGGAGTTAAAGGATTTGGTAGTTGCTCCAAAATTCCCAATCGTGGGGCACCATCAACTGAAGAACGATCTCTGTTTTATCTCTCCATGAAACCCTAATTCATTCACTTCTCGATCTCCGAAGCGCAATCCTTCCACGCTCGTCTTCGCTCTCCATCTGTAAGTTCAATTCCCCTATCGATCCACCCTCACATGAAATCTTGAATTATTCACTGCCCTATTTTCCAGGGACAAAGATCCATCGCGACACGACCGTTACTTCGACGACGATGGATGGCAACAAGGACGACGCGTTGAAGTGTTTGAGAATCGGCAAAGAGGCTTTAGAAAGCGGCGATCGTTCACGCGCCCTCAAGTTCGTGACGAAGGCGCGTCGCCTCGATCCCACCCTCCTCGTGGACGATCTACTGTCCGCCATAGAGGCCGACGCGGGGGATCCGCCCGCCGACGCCTCCGCCACCGCCGCCGCCGCGGAGCCCAGCAAGCCCCCCGACCAGCCTTCCATCCGGCGCAGGGCTAGCGCGGCGGCAGGTTCCTCGTTGTCTTCGGCCTCATACACCGAAGAGCAGATTTCAATTGTCAGAGAGATTAGGAGGAAGAAGAACTTGTATGAGATATTGGGATTGGAGAGAAGTTGCAGTGTTGAGGATGTGAGGAAGTCTTACAGGAAACTATCTCTGAAGGTTCATCCCGATAAGAACAAAGCCCCTGGCGCCGAGGAAGCCTTCAAGGCCGTTTCCAAGGCTTTTCAGTGTCTTAGCAATGAAGAGAGCAGGAGGAAGTATGACATTTCTGGAGAGGATGAAGCGGTTTACGAGCAGCGCGCGAGGCCCGCTGCGAGGGCATACAATGGTTACTATGAGGCTGACATTGATGCTGAGGAGATATTTAGGAATTTCTTCTTTGGAGGTATGGCCCCTGCGACTAATTTTGGAGGATTCAGTTTCGGACCAGGTGGTTTCAATGCTCACAGGCCTGCTGAA